CATACATACATACATACATACATACATACATACATACATACATACATGTATATGTATGTATGTATGTATGGGGCTAACACACCAGATGTACAGTACATAAACTCAGGCACAGCCTGGGATTAATGGAGAATTTGGCCAATGGTGGGTATAGCCAACTAAAAGTTTAGCTTTGCTTACTGACAATCCGCTAACTAAAAAATTAGCTTTGCAAACAGATAAAGAAATTAGTAGAAGCTAAAACTAACTGCTTTCAAACATACACGTGTGGTGTCCACAGAAATGCATACATGTCAACTTGTACAGATTGTCCGTAAGTTATTAAGGATTTTACGTCATTTTGCAGGTATACGGACGTATAGAGCAATCTTACGGATTTTTTCAAAACCTAATTTTCAAATTTATCTAACCTGTCAGAGCTGTAGGGTGATAAAAAACAAAAAATAACATCAAATAGACATCTACCAATCTTTTCTGCCGCTAGAAATAAGTTTTGAACTTTTCCGCTCTACTTTCCTCCTGCTTCACAGCAGGCGCTGTCATCTCTGTGGATCCCCCCCCCTCCCCGCGGGTGCGAGTTGTACGGATATTTTGCAAAATTTACGGATTTTTGAGGCTTTTTATTCAGGTGAACRTCCGAAGAGGTTGACATGTATGGAAATGTCAGAATCTTGGCTAAAAGCTCCTAAAAACATTTCTACATCCACCAAACAGTACCACAATCAGTCGAATGGGAAATTGCTAAAGATGCTACATGCACACACAAGGCGCATGACTCAAACTTGCTGTGCTGCATGTGATGGTTTGTTTATTTTTGGTCTTAAAGTTAGCAAAACTCAGTTTAGTGGAAGCTTATTGGTCCACTATTCTGCTAAAGTTAGCCTCACAGTTAGCTGTTAGTGGGTTAGTAGAACTGTGCTCACCACATTTTTGACCCTACACAAAGCAGTGCTTTATGTAAAATAAGCCACACATTTCAAGATTCATTTCTTAATCACATCAACTCTTGTGGTTCTTAAAGAATCCCATCCTTATTGGACGGACAGTGCAAACGTAGTGGATAATCTCTGCAGTTTCCTGGATTTTTTTCATTTACTTTCTAGAACTCTATCCATTCTAACAAGCCAACAACAACAAGGTTCCTAACTTTTATTTAAACACTGTGATGTCTTTGCTTTGACTTCCAGAACCAGAAGGCTGACCTCACGGCTTCAGAAGTGAGTTCGTCCACGTCGCAGCAGCAGCTGAGGGAAAAAGAGGAGCGTATTCTCGCCCTGGAGGCAGACATCACCAAGTGGGAACAAAAATACCTGGAGGAGAGCACCATGAGACAGTTTGCAATGGATGCTGCTGCCACGGCTGCAGCACAGAGGTACAGCGAGACAGATCAGTTCATTGTCTAACGAGTAAACGGATCATTGTGTTAACAGCAACTTGTTTTCCTTTCAGAGATACAACCATCATCAATCATTCACCCAAACATTCCCCAAACAGCAGTTTCAATGAAGACCTGCCTTTATCCAGTCACAGACATCAGGAGATGGAGAACAGGTACGCCTTGTTTGAAGTTGATTACTTCTTCAGTTTGTTTGTTGTTCAGAATGTGATTTCAAGATGAATGTCGTGTTTCCAGGATCCGCATGCTTCACGCTCAGCTCCTGGAGAAGGACGCCGTGATCAAAGTCCTGCAGCAGCGCTCCAAGTGGGAGCAAGGCAGGCTGGAGAGACAGGGCCTTCGTCCAGCCAGATCCGTTCCCACCATCAACACCATGACCTGCAGCACGGACAGTAAAGGTGACTTTTTATATCTATACWATTCATATCTGAGAAGTCTGGGAAACTAACAGTCACACTGGACTCTGCAACAACTGGTCGCGTTGCCGGACAGAATGTATACATTCTAAAAAAAAATAGGGAGCCGGAGACGATCCTTTCGTGTGAYTCAAATAGACAACATGTTTTTATGCTGGAATGCAAATCGTTGCTCGCTCCAGAATAGTCCGATCCAGAATAGTCCTGAGAAGAACTGGGCAGGGCGGATGTTTGGTGTAATTGTGGATGAAAGTGTGTGTAAGTAAACAGTGTCCTCTCTTTGTCCGCACTTGTAGGGGAGAGCATCTCAAATGACCAGACAGGTGCTGCTTTGCTCAAAACTCCATCCTGCGTCGCAGCCAAGTGCCCGAAACGAGACAGCAGCACTCAGAGTGAAGAGGCGCCTCAGGAGCAGGAGGTCACAGCAGAAACTGACAAGATAACAACTGAGGGTGTCTCAGAAGCTGCCACTGGTGGGTTTTTATGTTTAAAAATAAATAAATATATCCAATCATTTGAACACACCATACTTCTGATTTAAAGAGATCTCTGACTACTGTCACAGGTTGGCCTTAATATGTTATGTTTATTATATTTTTCACTGAAGCACTTCGTCATTTTTTATTGACGCAATGCATTCTGCAAATGATGATGTTAATGGTTTACAGTTGAAACTAGAACACAAAAAGTCATAGCTAAAAAGCTTTAGTGTGTAACAATAAATTTAGATTTTGTATTTTTTTTCACATTCTGCACAATATATGAACTATCAAATGTTATGTCTAGTAAATTAACTCTGAAGCCATCGCCATATAATACTTACATACATAAGATTATATACCATATGTGGCATTAGCTCCTAAGCTAATATAATTAATTAGAGAGCTAATGCCACATATATATAGTACTAATATATTTATCTGCAGTATACTGTATGTGTTAGTTCCACAGCTAACACCATATATTAGAACTAGCGCTAATGCTACATATCGCCAGAAATACATTAGCTTGGGAACTAACGTCGTGTATGTATGTGTGTATGTATGTATGTATGTATGTATGTATGTATGTATGTATGTATGTATGTATGTATGTACTGCAATATATTACTTCTAGGGGTAACGCTACAAATCCCCAGATATATAGTATATTAGCTCAGGAACTGTGTCCATATACTACAATATATTTATACATATTCTAGCTCGGGAGCTAACGCTGTATTTATTGGGTCTAGAGCTAACGACATATATTGGCATATATATTAGCTTGGGAGCTAACATGAAAGCTAAAAGGCTAAAGCTTAGTTGAGCCTTCTACAAACCAGCTAATGTTGCAGGTAGTTGGATTTTGGAAGTCTTGCATTTTTTGAACTTTAAGTGTAACCTGACTCATGGCAAACTAAAATGTGCCAGGGATTATAATATAATATATTGGATTTAAAAAACAAACAAAAAGAAAAAAACGTTTGACTTCACATGCTAACATTTTATTTTTATTTGCTCATTGTTTTTCAGACTGTTTGGAGGAGCCAAMGCTCAAACTGCTGAAGAGCTTGGACACAGAAGCGGTGGAGATCCTCATTTAAGCCATGACTGCAGCTCGTATGACTGAATGTTGATGGCCAGGACGTTTGTTTGTGTTGTAAAGGATCTCATTCGATGTGAAACCAATGTGCTGTCGAGGAGAGCTGAGCTTTTCATCTGCTGTTACATTGGACAGGGGGGTGGGGATTCTTCAAGGTACCTGGACAGTATTTTGTAATGTGACAGGAACTGGGCTGCTGGAAGTTGCATGTTGTTTGTGATTAGAACTGTATTTATATCTTTGTAAATGCTGCTCCATTTGTCATGTTACTTTGTTTTTTTAGATCAGTTAGTGTATGTTTTGTTTATCTTGAATTTAATGTTGCATCCCTAAAACTATACCATCTAAAAGTAATGGGCCTGTTGAAAATGACACAGAATCAACATCTTTGTTTTAAAGAGTTATCTAGTTTCACAAGGCTGTTCAAACCTAAATTAACAGTCGCTCCAATCTTTTTAAATGCGTTTAGGGGCCCCTCGCTTGCAGCTCAGTAGAGGATTTAAAAAACTTGAATGCAGAGCTTGTGGAACGCCTGCTTATTTCTCTCCTAAAAAAGCTGGCGAGGACTGATGACATTTCACTGGGGTCCAATTTTCCAGATCCCGGGTTGATGTTTGGGGGGCCTCAGATGGTTGGTGCTCCCCTCCGATGACACGCCGGAGCTAATCTTCTCACATTCCTCACTGAGGGAATGCTCCTGTTAAAGAAAAAAGGCTATCTAAAGTCTGACCCCCTCAGCCTTGTTAAAATGGCACGCATTCTTACACTTGATTCTCTTTCTTGGGCCGGTTATTTCCCGCGAGCTGTGGTAGCTGGTTCTACCGTACGTGTAAAAATGGTCCTCTATAATTGGCCTGCATTTGCTATACTAATAATTGTCTCCATCACTGTGTCATATTTGGCGGTGTTTTCTCCATTGCTCAAGCATTTCACATATCAGAGCTGACTGTATTCTAAGAATGGAATTTTCTATTTATTTCTCTCACTTAATGTATGATTACTGAACACTGCTGAATGTAGACTACTGTTGTAAGGATTGTGCATTATATTTAACTGGAATGTGCCTCAATACTCCTTTAGGGATGAAAAGACTTAATATATGTCGTAATCAAGTTTTTAATCTCTTTTAACTGATGTTTTTGTATAGATAACATTCACCAGCAGAGGTGGTTTTCTCAAATAGCCATGTGGGCACAGCTAATAAAATGTTAGCTTTGCTAACCGCCAATCCACTACTAAACAAATTAGATTTACAAATGCTAAAGCAATAGGTAAGAAAATTAGTGGATCCAGTATAAACTGCTAACTGCTAACTCAAGGTAAACACCTTGGCTGAAAGCTCACAAAAAACATTTTACATCCACCAATCACAGTTAAAACCACAAGCAGTTGAACCTGAAAATGCTAAAGAAGCTACATGCACACACAAGGCGCATGACGCAGGCGTGCAGCGCTGCATGCGTGAGGGAATAATTGTTTTTGTTAGCCGACTTAAAGTTAGCAGAATTAAATTTAGCAGAAACTAACGCTAAACRAAAAGTTAGCTTCACTKTTTGCTGTTAGCGAATTAGCATTTAAAACTCCCATTTAATTTATATTTCTCTTTGAGCTTTTTCCTCATATTTCCCATCTCGGTGCCATGTCTCAGTTTAACTTACTGTCCTCCACTACTTTTTTGGAATGTTGTTTACATGCGTGGCAATTTGAAGTGAGAGATGATAATATATTTTGTCTGTTTTTTCCTCGTTCTCATTTATAAATCTCTTTGTTTTTTTTGGTATGTTTTTCTTTGCCAAAGATGTACTCTATATTTAAGTTATAAATGATGATGATGAATACAAAAGGCTCTGTTTAAAGTGCCTTGCTGGTTGAACTAATTTGTTGTTGCTGTGAACTTTTTGTAAAGGAGACATTTGTATGTATGCCTTAACATTTCACAATAATAGAATAAAATTCCTAATATATATTTGACAACAAGCTTTCCTTTCATTTTTGACAATTTTTCCAAGTACGCATGTGAATGGATGACCAAACCTTTAATCTGGTGACCATTTGACACACAGAAAGTAAGACCTTAAGCCAAACAAMCCACATAGCAACATTTGTCTGGCCCAGTTCTGGCCCATTTACTGCACTCGACCCCAGATACTGCAAAGAATGACTTAAGCACCCCCATCCTAAACCTTTAGGGCCTGGATTTTGGTCCCCATACAGGGCACTGGGTCCTCACAAAGAATATTTTGGAAAAATGGGCCTTAAAAGGTAACAAATTCTAGTACACACATTCACGTGCACACAGACACACACACAAGCTGTATGTTTATTTTTTTTTTTTACAGATTGGCACTTTTATACTAGTTCTCAATTTTTGTTGAAAATTTGCAGTGTTTGCATTGGAAAGTTTCTATCTTGCGTTAAGTATTAAGTTAAAAAAAGAGTGAAGCTGTGAAAGTATGCATCCAACTTAAATAGGAGCAGACCATTTATAATATGGGATTCCCCAGCAGTGGCATATTTCAAGTATCGTGTAGCTTTAAAATTATCACAGCTCTTAAATAGATCCATCCATCCATTCTCTGCTGCTTGTTCTGAGGTCTGATCACGTGGGGCAGCAGCTCGAGCAGGAAGGAAGGTGCAGACATCTTCCACAGCCAACTCTTCCAAAAATGATTTTAAGGCCTTCCCTGGCCAGACTCTCCAGCGTGTCCTTGATGTTCCTAGGTGTCTCCCAGTGAGACAAGACTGGAACACCTCCCTTGAGAGAGTATTCAGGGTTCCAAGACCTAAACCTTTGCCTAAGCAACAGCCAGGGCTGCAGCTCACTCGGCCCACCAATACCCTTCAGCTGCCTCGAGAGTCCTACCAGCCAACAAACCGTGATAGGATTCCTTTTTAATCTTGATGTCCACCACTGGGTTTGAGGATGGCCACCATGAAAAGCTCCTTGACAATGGAGGTGCAGAACACAGCCCACTTGACCTTAATGTCTCTGGTTAAAGTTGAAGGTGAGAATTGAAGATCTTTCTGATGGGTTCTTTTTCAGCCAGTTGTCCCCAGTAAACCCTCACTACGTGTTTGGATCCATCAGGGTCTGTCTGCCAAATTCCCTCACCATATAATCCAACCCACCATCAGGTGGTGTCAATCAGCTCAGCTCCTCTCTTCATCTGAGTGTCCAAAACATGTGGCTACAGATCAGAAGACACAACTATAAAGTCGATCATCGATCTTCGACTTAGGGTGTCCTGCTGCCATGTGCACTTATGGACACCCTTGTGTTTGAACATGGTGTTTGTAATGGACAAACTGTGACCAGCGCAGAAGTCCAACAGCCAAACACTACTAATGTTCAGATCAGAGAGGCCTTTCCTACCAAACACACCACTCCRGGTCACACTGTAGCTACTCACATGCGCATTGAAGTCCCCCAGCAGAATGATGGAATACCCAACTGGAGCACCTTCCAGCAACCCCGCTAAAGATTCAAAGAAAGCTGTGAACTTTAAACTGTCGTTGACATTGAATTCTTTGTTTCCTTTTGTCCATACAAGTTTTGTGAATAACTTTTAGTTTGGCCTGTCACCTATAGGACCAATCTGCCTTAGAGGACCCTACCTGGGCAATTGATCATTCAGGTACACAAACTTTTCCACCATGATTCCTTAGGAGGCTGAGGCGAGCTGGACTCAGATCAGCCCTCATCTCCTTCTACAGATGTGTGGTGGAGAGTGTACTGTGCTCCAGCATCAAGCTGCTCTGTTGCAGACAGAAAAGCTCTGCAGAGGGTAGGCAGCACAGAGKTTAATCGGAGTCAGCCTCCCCACCACCACACATCTGCACCTCTAGATGCAGGAAGAGGGCTACTGGCATCATGATGGACCCTACACACCCAGCGCACTCACTTTTTGTTCTGTTCCCCTCAAGTAGGAGGCTGCAGAGCATTCAGTGCAGAACAGACTGAGAAACAGCTTCATTCCAGAAGCTTAAGACTGACAAACTCCTCCACCAAGCTAAACACACACACACTGTGAGAAACACTTTCCGAGGACACTTAGTCACTTCACACGCACTCGACACTTATTCTATACTTAGGACGCTTTGTCGCCATTTGTTCATTTAGTTGTGTTGCTTGTAATCATGTTGCTGCTCTTCCCCTATGATCATGTCGCTGCTGTTTTATTGTTACCTCTGCCAAGGGCAAAGTAATGTTTTCGGTTGCATATGTCTGTCTGTCGTTCTGTCTGTGGACAACATTACTCAAAAACTTGTGGACAGATTGTCATGACATTTTTATCACATGTGGGTACTGGGCCAAGAAACACACCTTTAAATTTTGGTGATGTTCCGGATCACGATGCAGATACAGGATTTTTTTCTTTTAACACTCTGAGATAGGCAAAGCTGCGACGCTTTCACAGGGCTTCTGTAAAAAACAGAGAGCTGGATTGGAC